ATCTGTGATTTAATATTGTTCTGTCCCCTGATTTAACAGAGGTCAATCGTGTTTGTTAACAACAGCAACTTATCCAATGGCTCCAATTTTCCAAATTACTCTCAACTACACCTCACAGTGGATTGTTTCTACTGGAACTACTTTCTTAAGAAGCAAATCGTTCCTTACAAACTTGACTGGCGTGAGGTGTGAGGTTAATCCATCATGGGGATGTTGTTTCTGTTATTATTCTCTTTAAAAAGAATAAACCGAATTCCTTTTAAATCCATTTCATTGAGTTGGAAACACAAAGGTTCAGCAGCAGCTAACTCAAAACCTGAAAACCTTTAAAACCAGCATCAACATCTCATGTCCAGATATCTCTGATGGTATCGTGATTTAGTTCAAGTGATCCTATAACATGCAGTACTTCTGGTCATATCCTGTAAAAGTCCTATTTTTTCCTCAATTTAGATAGAAAATAATATTTATTAATTATTAATCTGTGTCTGGTTGTAGTGGTGAAGCCTCCGTTGATGGTCACAGCAGAACAGACTGGCCAGTTCTCGGCAAGGGTGACGTGGAAGCCGGTGGAAGACGTCTTATTGTACAAATGCATCATCCAGAACCTTGATAACCCCACCAGCCCGCCATACGTGCACAACGTCACAGGCACCAAGCTGGAGGTTGAGGGCATCCTCCCATGCTCCACCTATCTCATATCAGTGTCCTCGTTCAACCACTTCCTGGTGCCGAGCGAGCCCACGGACTTCACATACACCACCAACAGTGAGTCGGCACGCAGAGCCAAACTAATATCAATAACTCTGTGATTAGGATCTAGGTCAGCTATTCTCTCCGAGCCGCTCCTTTCAGACACGCAGAATGTGATCCTCGAGGAGAGAGAAAGGATTTGATGCCCCAGCAACCATCTTGTTGTTGAGACTGTCGTGCAAACACAAATCTGAGAAAAACAGGAATCAAAAGATGGTGTGAGGTCCTTTTACACTGTGTTAATGATGAGACACGTGACCAATCCCAGTATAGGTGCTGTCTATAGGCCCCGTCACAGAGAATCGGATACTTCTGAACAAAGCAATGTCAACTCACAACAGTTAAGAAGTAATATCCATCATTTACCACCAAGTGACAGTAATTATCTGTATTCCCTCTCCATCGTCATCCTGCTTTTTTTTTTACTTTAATATGCTGTGTTGCTTTCAGAGCTGTCACCAGTTTCATCAATATCGGTGGACTACACCTGCACCAGTCAGTCCGCCAAGGTGCAATGGTCGGCCGTGGTCGGGGCCACCTCCTACAAGGCTACGGCGATGGGCGACCACGGCACGGAGTTGACGTGCACCAGCCTGGACACCAGCTGCCAGATCACCGGACTGAGCTGTGGCCAGAACTACGTGGTGAACGTGACGCCGATATCGGAGAACTGCAAAAACACCATGAACAGCACCTCGGCCACTTTTCAGACTGGTGAGAAAACATTATCACAGAGAGAAAGAGGAGAGACATGAGACATAAACACAAACTCCTGTTCAACAGAGAAAACGAGACGCTCAAAGTTTGAGCCAGCAGAAACTACATGAGACGAAGCTAGAAGCACGAACAGGAAGTGCATTCATTCTCTGAGGTTAGAGAGAAAATACGTCTTGGCAGAGGTAACCGCTGACAATTGACGCTGGAAGACAAATATGAAATACACGGAAACCAGAATAGTTGTGACCCTCGAGATGATGTTGCCTCACTTCTTTGTTGGGAAACCAGTGACAGGCAGACAAGGCCGGGACATCCTAAATATAGAATGGCTCATTCAATTCAATTTGAAATTAAATACTAGTTAACCCAAAGTTACTGTTAAACAGAGCCTATGTTAAACACAAGCTCATGCCTTGTTCCTCTAAACTCTTTATTTACACCGTAAGGTCAAAAAGAACCAGACTCAAGCTGAGTTGTGGATTCACTTGCGATTCTGCTGAAGAGAAACGTATCTGACTGAACCGGTGCCATCGACGCCGCTCGACAAGACTGCGATGGCACCGGTTTATCAAATTAATGGATGACGAACGTTTGCACCGCTCCACCCTGCCACCTGTTTTGTGTGGGAAGTTAATCCTTTCCTCTCACGTATCAGTCTATTCTGTTGGAGGGGCCGATCGAGATTCTCTGTCCTGCCCCACCCCTGGTGCCACATTGTGTCCCGCTAAGCTGTTGTGACTTGGATGAAGCTGAATATGATTTTATGACATGTATTTGTCGCAAATCAAGAGCGCAGCCATTTAATACCTGAGGGAGGACCTGACATAACTGTCGGATGAAAAGAAACCTGCTAGGAAAAGCTTGAAGGCACAAGGGGAAGGAAGCAGCGTCATTTCTTTTTATATATTTTTTTGTAATAATACGTCTCTTATTGATCTTTCACAGTCTTAAAATATACCAACAGACTTCCATGATTTAGATTTTTAAAATAAAGCACATTAACCAATTTGAAATCACTGAAATCTTTCTGTCGAGTTTGAATTCTTATTTTAATCATGTTTTTTACCGTGATCCCTCCTGAGGTCGTTTGGAACGTGTTTATTTTGCGCATCGCTGGATGTCTGCTTTGAAAACTGGGTCTTCTATTGAGCTCCGCCGTCCATCACATTGTGTTCAGAGTGAGTCAGTGTTCCTGTTGAACCTGAAACCACAAACACTGAAAAGCAACACGGGAGCACAATCTTCAGTATCAGGGCGTTTTAACCTGAAACGGGATTTTAGACGTGTAATGTTGATGCTTTTTTTTCTTTTTCTGTTACATCTATCTATCTATCTATCTATCTATCTATCTATCTATCTATCTATCTATCCATACATCCATCCAGATTTAGTTTATTTTGACTAGTTAAATTCTTAAACCTTAATTGTAATACATTTTTTCAACTTGTTCCAAATTGCAAATGGAAAAAAACCCATTTCGTTTTAAGTCGGACTAATCTGGATATTTGTGTTGACCAGGAATGTGCAGATTTGTCTTTTATCGTCATCCACACGTCCGTGTTTCTGTCTGTTGCACTTTGAATTAATGTGTAAATGTCTTTCTCCTTCAAGTCCCCTGTCCGCCCCAGAAGCTGGACTTGTCTCGAGACTGTTCCAGCGAAGTCATCGTGTTTTCCTGGGAGCCGACGAACAACACGGACCATTACCTGGCCAGAGCGGAGGACTCCAAGGTACTGACCCCGAAACCAAACCAAACTCAACTCATCTCAACTCATCTCAACTCAACTCAATACATTCATTCCTAAGAAACTGAAAGAAGAAATAACTTTTATTTTTTGAGAAATGTGAATGTGGAGTTATATCAGAAAAACGAAGAGGAGGTTTAGAATTCAAAATCTTTTCTTTAGGATTATTAAGTTTAAATTTTACGTTTGACATTAGATGCTATAGAGGAGATAAAGTAATAGTTTGAGATTTTGGTGAATAACACTGAAATTTTCACAGAGAGTTTGATGAGACGAGACTCTGAAGTTGTTTCAGAAGCTACCGCATGTTAGCTTAGCCTAGCATAAAGACAGGAAGTAGAGGGAAGCAGCTAGCTCCTCCTCAGCTCGTCAGCAAGTCTCACCATGTTTATTTAATCTGTTCAATAATTAGAGAAGTAAAAAGACAAGTTTGTGTGTTTGACCGTCGTAACTTTCCAAAGTTTCTGCTGACGCCCTCGCTGCAGTTCATTGTTCCTCACAGAATAAATTAATGAATCAGATCAGACACTGAATGCTAAGTGATGATTAGCATCAGAGGTGTTTTTAAGGAGTTTACTCATGTTTTCAGCCTGTTAGCTAAACTAAGCTAACACACTGCTAGCTTAAAGCCCACATCTACAGTGCATATTACATCACGTGTGATGTCTCTGTCCCCAGGGAGAGTTCATGGAGTGTCTGACGGAGGACACCTCGTGCTACTTCACACAGACGGTGTGTGGACGACACTATTTCTTCACGGTGTATTCGATTGCAGGAGAGTGCAAGAGCCAGATTAGCGCTACGGTCGACATTCGCACAGGTAAGACAACGTATATATATATCTATATTTATATATATCTAAATTACATCCTGTCTGTGTGTTGATGAAGATG